GATTGACAACAACATCATCATCATCTTCGAGCGTAACCTAAACTGACCATTTTTTGACCCAACTTTTGCAAAGTTTCCATAAATTTATTCCATTGAAAATGCAGAGAACGGCGAAATTAATCTTGGAAATATTGTGAATCCTTTCCAATGACCGTAAGCCATCTTCCATGTAACGTGGAATGCCTTCACTAACGTAATTCTGAGGGCTTCGAAGCAGCGAACTCATTGACGAATTTACACATATTATCCAGCCTTTTTGAACTTTTTATCATCTAAGGCGTAATACATTGACCGAAATAAATGGTAGTCGGATAGCGCCGTCTGATGGAGATACCGTGTGTGTGAAAATTTCCCATCCCGCGTTCAAGAGGGTCTTCTGTGTCACACGAGCAACGCGAGGTCGAGCCTCGTCATATAGGTGTATGACTTGCCTACTTCCTCACCCAGTAAATAACCTTTTCTGGTCAAGTTTTTCGCTACGTTTGTTAAATTGTCGGCTGTGGCGTTCCGCAGTCATTGTCAGACCAGTTTCCAGTTCTTAATTATGTACACCATTAATGTCCCAACAGACACACTGGTGAACCTTCTTCGTGTGAATATCATGTTTTGGCGTCGATTTAACGGGCTTTGCACGGGGTCTACCCATGACGGCTTACTTTTGGGATTCTCCCAAAAAATATGCTTTCCATCACCCGTCACGATTTTTTTACAAGATCTTTTTTGTTGTTGGCGAGCAAACAGTTACAGGCCTGTGTTCACTTGATGGCCAGGTTTGTGTTCGGGCAACACATGTGGGGGGACTCAATTTCAAGGTTTTTTTAATTATCCTTACTATTTGATATATACACATTGAACTAACTGTTTGAGCAACTTCCAATTGAGGTGCAAACTCTTATTTTGTTTACGTTAAGTCTTCACTCTATAGAGTTTAAAATTCCGCATCTTCAAACATTCGAGGCTGTCCGGGGCGCTGCTGGTCACGAAGGTCAAAATCACAAATACCAAATCTTTTGCACCGATACTTATGTTTCATCAGACACAACGTCAACACCAAGAGCATTACAAATTGATTCCCGTGCTTTAGAAACATTTTCCCTTGTTGAACTTCGAATGAAATGCAGTGCCGAATGTGCTGCTTATCAGTTGCTGCCGTAAACTATTCCATTTCATTATTCTTTGTTCTGGAACCATGCGTTCAATTCTTTTAGAACTACAAAAGACCCCGAGAATTTTGAAATTTTAAATATATTTTTGAGCTTGAACGGCAAATCTGTGGCAATTAATTTATGCACTTATTACTAATTCAATATTCTCTAAAATTACGATTGGAAATGCAATGCATAGTTTCCGATTTTTAGGGCCTTGAAAAGGCAGCGACTCTTGCGCTATAATCTGCTAGCAGTAGCAGTAAACTAAAGGTTCTCTTACAGGATAACAGGAATATTTTCATGCACTGAACTGACATATCAGCTGATAGACACAGGGATGATTAGGTAAATTATTTTGTCACAACATTTTTCCTCAAATCTCGTCTGAATATTGTCTGAAAGATTTTTAGAAATTTTATTTAAAAAAAGCTTTCAAATGTCTCTACTTCACTACCTAAGCATTTGGTGCACAATTACACTAAACTTATAGGTATTTTAGCTTATTGTGATCAAACAACTGATTGCTAAAATTCTTCTGGCTTTTATCTTTATTCAACATGATTTTAGTAAATATCTCGCTAATGTATCATCGTAGTCGCAAACTACAATTTTGTTTTGCTGTTTAAAATGCAAAAGAGTACGCAATAACCAAATGTAAATTATCTACTTTAAATCTCTGTTTTGAAAGATCGTCTGCCTAAAAGGACACGGATGTTTTATTAAGGTTAAAATTATTAATTTTAACTCAAAGACTTAATAGTAGGTTAAAAAACTCTTGTTTCTATGCGTCTGGCTTCAAAATTTATTGCAGTAGAAACTCTCAAATAATTCCAAAATATCCACTCTCAGTAATAAGCTAAAAGGGATGCTACTTAAACTATTTTTCTCGCTTTTCAAGCGCAAAAATTATTTCAAAATACTGTAGTTCCTGTAGCGGATGCAAACAGTCGCCGGCATTGTAAAAAAAGAGTTGTTATAAACCAGTCAGGAGTTTGTAAATGAGACGTGGATGCTCAGTATCACAAAATTGACATTTCTAGAAGTTTTACAATACGTAAGGTTTTCAATACTTAATTTTAAACCTTTAAGATCGTATTAAGTTTCGAAATTTTAAATTTCATTACTGAACACAAGCATCGCTTTTTTATTTACATTCAAAAGCTTCTTATCCTATATTTTTATCTAAAATATTATTACATTTCCAAAACTCTGCTCTGAACAGGTGCACAAATTTTCTAGTGGAAATATCATGATAAAGTGTGGGATAAATTCTACCGGTGGTACCAACTTTAACTAAATGCCAGGTACAACAAGCAACGTGGGTTTAGAAGCACTCCTTGTATATATGACATATAACTGCCAAATTACAGCTTGGCTTGATAGCACCACTTTGAGTCAACATATAATCCATCTGCACATCTGAAAGCATTTTAAACTACCCCAGGAGAGTTTTGAACAGTCACAAAAGCCAGTTGGCTGTTCACAAAAAATAAATCACTTTGGATGCATGAATAAAAACAACTTTGCTGTTTTTTCGCAGTTCATGGTGCTTCAAAAAAAGAAAAGGAAAACCAAAAAAATCTAACAGATGTAAAGTCATACCAATGAAAGGAGGAAGTGTGCTCATCGACTCCTGCATTGTTAACTTCATTCGATCAATCCCAAAACTGGCTCATAGTATCCATTGTACAGCGACATACTCAAAACGCATCCTTAGAAAAAAATTATTCAAAAATGATGGTTATGCACCAGCAGTAATCTCAAGTTAATAGTTATTGGCATTTAAACCGCGTATTTTTGGTAAATAATCTAAAAAAGCTGTTAATATTTGTTGCCCCTATGCAATCACTCTAGTTTAATAATAAAAGGTACTAAATTAAGGCTATCTATTTCATATTTAAGTGCTCATTTACTTTTAAATTGAGTCATTTTCCTTTTGGATTCATTGATAACTAAGTGAAACAGTATAAAGCAAGCAAAAAGATGCATTGTTTCACTCAGGCAATTACATATGTCATGCAAAGCCGCGAGATTATTTTGGTTTCTGGCTGAATCAAGAGGTCATTCATAATAATAAATCCAAATGTATTCTACGTATTAAATACCCAATTTTAAGGCCCAACTTTACGTTATTGACTAATAAATACTCAGGTAAAACAAATATTGCTCACTAAATGTTAATAAACGTCGGTAGAGGACAGATGGCGGCTTTCGAAGTGCACAAAGATTCTAAAGAACCGCAGCTTTGATTGCAATCAAAGAGATTACGGGCGTCAAGGTCATGACTAAAAGCGACGAAAATTGTGCTGCTCAAATACGCTGATGTCTGGCCTCACATTTGACATTAAGCAAACTGATTATTAAATTTACGTAAGGATAATAGAAATGTGTGCTGCTGTCACTGGATGCGAGGACTTTGACATACTGTTTTCCAGACACGTGTGTTGTCACACTTCGGGCAAGCCAAGAAGTGATTACTTAAAACAAACAAACAACAAAATACACCAAAGTTCCAGTCCCAGTGACTAGGCACTTAACTGTCCTTGCTTTGTCTTAGCATTTAAAACTAAGTACCATTGCACACAACCATTGAAGATGGGTAATTATTGCTCAAATTATAATCACCATTTCTTATTTGAACACGAGTGTCTCTTTTTTAGGACTGCGGATGAGAGTGTAGATTAGGAATCAATATCTGTTGCATTAGGCAATCCTCAGTGCAGCCCTATTCGTCTATAAAACCAATCTTACTTAAAAACCAAGTTGACAATTCTAGTCGGCTAAATCTGTTAATTCACAAACTGGTAAAGATGACCCTGAACTTAAGCATATTTATCAGGATATTATAAACAGAGACTAATGAAATATAAGAGCAAGTCTGAGGTAAATTTGGCGCTTTTGGTTAATCAATGGATAATCTACAGGATATCAATTTTGCAGTTTTTAAGTGCCGGTCATCGAAACGAGCAGAACGAATTCGCGCAAATTTAAAACTTCCTGCGATAGTCCCATTATATGTGACGCAATTAACGGCGGTAATCTGCAAGTAGAAGCCCATTGAGAAGTAAACATTGAATGTGATACAGATGGCGGTCAATATCTACTAGACACAATGTGAAGGCATTGAGGACGTGCATACTCTGCGTAGATAAACGCAGTACTGATCGTAAAAGGCTACAAATGGAAATTATGAAATCAAAAGTAAAATAGTGAGACTAGATGAAAGATTAAAATACAAATAAATGTAATTTTGCTGTCACTACATTAAGATTAACACATGAACTAGCTTTTGATGAGGGTGAAACTTTCCTCCGTTTATTAACTCCTCGATCTATTTAATAGGTTAGCTGTAAATGCCAACAAAATTAATACATAGGGCGGTTTAAGAATACCGTAATAGAGCATTGCTGCGTAGACGCTCGGTCTCGCATATTCGTAAATGCGTAAACCCATTTTTAAATCAAGATACATAAAAGAAAGTCCACTAAATTTTTAAAAATAAACACGAATAACGATTCCACTAAGCGGAATACTGCCAAGAGCAATCACTTTTTGATTCGATAGTAAATTTGTCATAGTTTGGGAACAACGAATGTAATGTCATGATAATGAGATCTAGCTATGTACGTCTAATTAATAGATGTCAAATGTTTTAATATAGTTGTTTATCTTTATCAACGAGCGAACGTAGCATTAATCTGCGTAGCTTCAGTTTCCGGCCATGTTGAGGTGGTTTTTGTTTTTTTGGTAATTCTCTGATGTAGGATTCCTGTTTCTCGCATACTTTTATCACAATTACCAAGTAGGGTTTTATCAACCCAGGCGAAACCCTTTTACTATCAGGATCTCCTGGAGTTCGAGAAACCTCCTTATGCTGACACTGCATTTCGGAAACTTACAGGTGTGTTCCAATTTCTTGGCAATCACGACCCTTTAAAAGGCTTTGACTGTGGTTTCCTAAGCCCTGTGCTATGTTAAAATGTGAGGGCTGTTTTAACTTCTTCTTAACGACGATTATTCGATTTCTAATAAGGTCATCATATTTAATCTTCGCCAGTTATGTAATAGGTGAAATGTAATCTCTGGTAAATTATCGCAGGATTTATGTACAATACCTCAGGTATTGCAAGTTAAATTCAACACCTGTGGAGTTAATATTTGTTAATCGCAAGCCTTTTGTTCAAGCAACCTGTAAAAATGCATGTATTGTGGCTTTCAGTCCGTGGAGTATACCAAAATAACTTTATAATTTCTTTGAATATATTTGCACATAGTGTTGCTTGGCTTTCACTTTTATCAACCCCCCTTTTTTAATGCTTAACAGGAGACTATGTACAAACAACTGATGTGAATGGCAAAAGGGTTCTTGAAATTGATGGCAAAGGTTTAACCCTATTATCTCAACAAGCCATGGTCGATATCGCTCATCTTTTACGACCTTCCCACCTACAGTCACTGTCAAATATTCTCAAAGATCCAGAATCTTCAAAAAACGACAAGTTTGTGGCGCTCGAACTTCTAAAAAATGCAAACGTTGCAGCTGGCATGATTTTACCTAGTTGCCAGGACACTGGTACCGCTATTGTGATGGGTAAAAAGGGCCAATATGTTTGGACTAACGAGGATGATGGAGCCGCCATCTCAAGAGGCATTTACAATACGTACATAAACCAAAATCTTCGTTACTCTCAGGTAAGAATGGGATTTTCATTAAACCTTATGAATCAACTTCATTGTATGGCGCTTGTTCCAAAAATAGGTGAACTAGCTTTGGCATTTTCTCGGTGACCTAGCGATTACATGTTTTTCGGTAACCTAAATACAATCACTGATTTGGGTAATCGAACTGCTGCCAGGGCTGAAATGATGCTGAGCTACTCAGTGGTGTTGTCACTGGCGAAAATGATGGACGTGTTCGACTAATTGAAGGTGATAGAACAGGCCTTACATTTTGTGGACTGTCAAACATTGTTTTCGAAATGTGCTGTTCGCGCGAAACTGTGGTCTTCAATGCGCTCTATTTCACGCGTAAAGCCACTGTCCTGATTGCATTAATTCTTAAATGCGGTTTGCAGGCAGATTGCTTGAAGCCGTATGTCAAAATGCCTTTTGTCTATATTGTCACTTATTTCTGTTTTCATGTCTTATGCCCACACGAATGGGGCATCGCCTGCGTCACACTGTAAGCGGCCTAAGTTTTTCACCGAAGAGAACCGGTCGATAATAATTCTGCTACCTTTTTATAGGTCGCACCCCTGGATATGTTCACAGAAAAGAACACTGGGACTAATCTGCCCGCCCAGATAGAGATTTATTCAACCCCAGGGAATGAATACAGTTTTCTATTTATGGCTAAAGGTGGTGGTTCGGCCAACAAATCATTCCTGTTCCAGCAGACCAAAGCTCTGCTGAATGAAAAGCGACTCTACGAGTTCGTCACTGAGAAGATGAAGGTATGGGTCGTTGCTTTTTTTGATGGTTTTTACGGGATCTAAGTGTCATCTTTTCTGTCACAGACTCTCGGAACCGCCGCTTGTCCACCCTACCACCTTGCTGTCGTAATTGGTGGCACATCTGCAGAATTTAATTTAAAGACAGTCAAATTGGCGTCTGCTAAGTATCTCGATCATCTTCCTACAAGCGGTTAGTTGTGCACTACATTGTTATGCATTATATGACGCCTACTTTGCGGTCAGTGACTTCATGTGAAAATCACTAGATGGCCATTAGGTATGTTATTAAAATTCATCCCTCATTGCGACTCCAGATCGGTTAAAGTGTACCAGGTTTTAATATGACAATCCAACTCATATATGAGGCTCAGTTTAGTAGTCGTGATGAAGCCACGAAATACCGTTCCAGTGAATAGCCGTCGGTGAAGAAAGTCTTTCATGGGGCTATTTTCTTAATCATTCCAACATGCCAGTGTTTAGTTTTTATGTTTTTTAGGGAATGAACACGGTCGTGGATTCCGTGATTTGGAGGCAGAACGACGCATCACCGAAATTGCTCAAAATTTAGGCATCGGTGCCCAATTTGGTGGCAAGTATTTCTGTCACGATGTTCGAGTTATCCGCCTACCACGTCACGGTGCTTCTTGTCCCGTCGGAATTGGTGTTTCCTGTTCGGCTGATAGACAGGTTATTCTCATACGATATCTCTAATGAGGTTTTATATACTGCGTTTCTTCATTACATAAATACCATTAATATGCATTTCTAAAGTTAATACTTTGCAAAGTATACAATTATCTAAGAACTGTCGTTGCATCTGATCCTTAAGCTCAGCAATCAGAGACAATAATAGTAAGTTTTCAATCATACTATTCATCAATTGCTTCATGTTGTAGTGCTATGGCAAGATTACGAGTGAGGGCATTTTTGTGGAACAGTTGGAGAACGACCCAGCCAAATATTTACCTGATCCATCAGACGTCATGCTCTCTGGGGATGTGGTCAACATTGATTTAAACCAACCCATTTCCGAGGTCCTTGCAACTTTAAGCAAGCACCCTGTCAAGACTCGTCTCAACCTTACTGGCACCCTAATTGTTGCTCGGGATATTGCTCACGCCAAGATCAAGGTTAGTCCTGCCATCTCCAAATAGATTTCCTGTCTTGCAACGAAAAAGATTGCAATCATTTGTATAACGTTCAGAAGCCTGTTTGTGTTGGGGTACACCTGTTGATAAAGAGTTCTTGAAATCCATTCCAGTGTCTCAGCTCCAGCTTTCGGACTCAAAATGGCTAGTGAATTGCTCTTCCAAATTCGTTTCTAATGCCGTGTTACATAACGATCCACTAGGTTTCAAATCGTCTACGCCAGATCAGAATGTGGTCTTCCTTGTCATGAGCATCGGAAATATGTTTTGTGTACAGGAACCACCACAGTATTCTTGGTACTCGTTTTCCCATTGTCTCTTCGTTGAACATGAATTTTGTCGATGCTGAAGTAGGTGCCAGTAAACGTTGCCTTTCGTCTGTATTTACAGGAGCGTCTTGATTCCGGTCAGCCGATGCCAGAATACATGCGCAACCACCCTGTTTACTACGCCGGTCCCGCCAAAACCCCAACGGGATATGCTAGTGGCTCCTTTGGTCCGACTACCGCTGGTCGCATGGATAGCTACGTTGATCAGTTCCAAGCACAGGGCGGTAGCATGATTATGCTCGCTAAAGGAAACCGTTCCATTGATGTAAGTATTTTCACAGCGGCGTTTCTTGAACACGTTTTATTTTGTGGTACTCTCTTACACCGGGCATATACAAATTCTGGTTCAATTTTTTAGTTGATGGTCATGTGAATTCTGAGCATGCATAGTGACTTTTAAATTCCCAGCCTACCTTTTTTAGAGGAATGACTTGCTATTGCATACATAGTCTTAATTTGTTTTATATCAGTCATATTTGGCTCTAAATAAATGATTTCGCCTTGGTTTTACCGTGCCTTGCACCGTAATTTTCGCCAGTCGCTAAGGTGACCTGATTTTACTTTCGTTTTCGCGAAAAACATTACGCTTTTGATGCTGTTAAGGTAACTAATGCCTGCAAAAAACATGGTGGGTTCTACCTTGGGTCAATCGGTGGTCCTGCTGCTATTTTGGCACAGAATTGCATCAAGAAGGTGGAGACAGTAGAGTACCCCGAACTTGGAATGGAGGCAATCTTCCGCGTTGAAGTCGAGAACTTTCCGGCTTTCATCGTTGTCGACGACAAGGGCAACGATTTCTTTGAGGAATTTCAGCTGTAAGCAACCAGCACCCATTGGGGCTAGTTTATAGTCACCAAAGTATTCACAATACCTTCACCCTTTCATCGCACATTTGTTTAGTTCATTGTCTTCTGTGTATTATAAAGTGTTTCCGATTTTCGCAGTATGACTTCTTCCAACACTATGTTGTCTGAGTTCTGGATTTGTCTATCAAGTGTCAAGTAATATGTACCTTATGTCCTCGATTCCTATCGTAATCTCGGCATTTATAAAATGTGACGCAGTGTAATGTGATATCAGAGGTGGATGCTTACGGTGCTACCTAGCGCACAATGTCGACTAGATGCTTAGATACGCTAGTAAAGCCTATCGCGACTTTCACATTGCTGTGGTTAGTAGGATTTTAGTATGAGAGGTTGCTGGCTTTTCCAAGTTATGCCTCGTTTTCCTCCAGAAGGTACCTTCACGCTTAGCGAGGCCCAGCGCGTCCACGTCTAATCCGCGTCAATACGTGACTTCAGATTATGAAAATCGTGTCATGCGTGATGTGACGGTTTGCAGTCAGTTGGCTGGTTTGGCGCTCAGCTGAATTTGGGTCTAAACGTGCCGAAGTGATGCCACGTTGTCGCCACGGTGTGTCCCCGCGTGACCGCCCTCCTGTACGTGATGATTTAACCAACTGGAGGCTACGGGTAGCAGATTAGACCGCAGATATGCGATTATTTCATGAGAGTAATACGTAAATTGGTTTAATTAAGTCGGGCGCTTATTTCAAAGCGTGTGATTAAACCTACTGCCGGTGTTTGAGCTGTTATTCCGCTTCTTGCTGCAGTGATAAATACTGTCAGTAGATGTTCGTATCGATTCATATCTGGTTCTCAATAAACACTGCTTAGTATATAGTTACGGTAATGAAAATTCAGCGCCTAGACGTCCCAAAAGTAACACTATACTGTGATAGTTGTAAAGTGTGAATATAGCCTATTTTTTCACTAATTAGCTGTGGAGAATTTTGATGTACTGGACGCTTTTACGTGTGCTGAGATGCGGAGAATTGTGTTGGGAATTATTGAAGTACAAACAATGTGCACCGTGATTAGCACCCATTCTGAATGTGTTCAAGGCTTGTCAGGGCAAAATTGCTTCGCAGGAAAAGGCACACCCATGGAAACTACCGTTCCATAGGGAATTTTGGTCTCACCAATTTCAAAAATATTTACAGTATCTTAGGAAGAGTACCAGACGTGTTCAAATTTACCATATGTTAAATCCACGCACTTGAATGGAAGTGGAGCAAAACAGTTGACTTGGTGTTGATAATGAAACTGGACATCCCGATGCTGTTTCACAATTTTGTGTGAAACGGCTTCAAAATAAGGAAGCAATCATTGAGAGCAGATTCAGATGAGTATAAAACGTGGTTAGCGCTCCACCATCGGCCCCTGGCATAAAGGTGCTTACATAATTGCGTAGGATGTGCTGCAATTGCGTCAAGTCCCAATTGATTACCCGATTTTCCACATCACTCTCAAACCTCTGTAATATAGCATGAATATAGCGGAAGGCCTATGTGCCAGACACATGTTTTTGAGGTCAGAGCACCTGTAGCGCGCCTACCGAGCGGAGACCTAAATAGGGAAATGACCGTTAGCCCGTCCCTCTTAGATAGCCACACCATCATGTTTAGCTACCAGGCACACGATAGAAGAATAGCTGGAAGAACCGGATATATTCCATACTACCGCATTCAAACTCAGAGGGCAGAAACTTTGGGAAAGTTAGAGTGGGAAAACGGATAGCCGCGAGGAGGGTCGGCGTTGCCATCGGACTCACGGGCGTGCCCTGAGGACGGCGAGAGTGCAAGAAGGGAGAGGAGGACAAAGAACAGGTGTGGTGTGGCGTCGGATCAGGCCGCAGCCAATCCTGTGTCTCTCTGTGTTCCAATGGCATGCGAGAAAGATAAGCAGCCAACCAGAGAAGGACACGACTGAGGTGCAGTATATAATGAGCGGCGTGGCCAGCGTGGTGGACTCGGGTGGAAGGCGCCTGACCTGCGGCTCTGGTTTCTGGTTGGCCAATAAAGCCTGTTCTCTTGTTCCGGTGTTTTTCCTATTAGGGCTCGGGTATTCTACACAGACCAGACCGGCGTGCGTGGGTCGAATGGCGCGCGTCACACACAAAGAATTCATGTTTGGCGGTTGTTAATTAGGTTTATTTGTGGTTCGGTAAATTGCAAGTCAATGTTCTGACCACTGAGTTTTAAATTATTACAGCAACTCAGTACATTAATAATAATAAATTTTCAAGTTGAGAAGAAAAATGAACACAAGAGTACATGAATTCTGGAAGGCCATTAATTTTATTCCTAAGCTGGATATTTTAATATTACTGCAGCCCAAAGCATCAAGCTAACTTACTGATTGTTTTTTGGGTTGCCTTTCGAGTAATTATAAAATTTCGATTATTTCACTAATAACTTAGATTATGACTAATGACAAGGTTCGGGCAGGACAACTAAGAGGATTAAACGATGCGCTCATTTTGTAACGCCGACAATCACAGCTTTTCGAATTTTGGGCGACATTTCCTGATGTAGAATGCAGTTAAAATGATTTATATCACGTTGTCATCTCATTTCACTTATTGAATGGTGTTATTCAACGCAATCAATTTCAATACATCATTCCAAATGACGGTATTCATAAACATATAATCCTTGATATTGACAAAATTTTAATTTAGGCAAACCAATCCAAAATTAAAAACAACAGTAAACGCAAAAGTTTATTTTGGTCTTTTTTGGAAGTTGTTTCAACTGGTCGATTTGCTGACGTTTAGAACAGTACTAAGTGGAGGCATAATCAACATAGGATGGCGTCGGCTCAGGCGCTCTTGAACTTCCTCGTTGTGTGCATAGCTCCTTATGTAAGAGTTTTGTGCAACCAAACTTTTTAGGCCATTTTGGCTTTCGCCGATAATTCGTGTGATAAATTAGGCTACACGGATGAGTTATCATGCACTTCATGCAAAGAACTGAGTTTGTTCGGACTTAATCCCCTTCGAGAGTCGTGTCTTGCGTGCTGTGGAGGCGGACGCACGTTGTCAACTATGAGGGTGCGTCGTATCATAAACTTATCCACTTCTAGAAATATCCATTTGGTGCAATAATCTCATGCGGATGATCTCTTAGAAAATACCCGCAGATCCACGGTACGTGACTTTTAAAACCTATTCAGCATTTTTGAAAAAAAATGTTTTAATCATAGGCCCCCTGTTTTAAATTTCATCATTTCTAGCTTTTAGTACCTAGGCTTATCAGCTTAATGTTTTTTTGATGAGTAGGAAACACGCACTTCCTACACCGTACCCATCTCCTAGACAAGGTAAAAATTAACGTCCCCCTTAACTGCGCCCAACTTGACGCCGTTTCGCGGCGTTGCTTAGGTGTTTCTCCCATTCTTTTTTAAGCCTTCGTGGACCACAAAATGAGGAGGTTCCGCAACGTCAGATTTGTGGCCGAGCCGGGCCACCGCCCGACAGCTATTTTATTAAACGAAGAACGCGGTGAAGCTCAGGAGACCTACTCCATCGAGTTGTGGGACACTAACACCATCGAGGAGTTCTTCCGGGAACGTCTTCTGTAGAGGGTCAACGTCTTGTTTGTGGTTTGGGCTTATGACGACCAGCGACGAAATTCCTTGCAACTGGATTGTCCCTTGTCTGATGTTCCCGAGCTACCATTGAGACGATCATTCTGTCCCCCCACACTGACTCTTATATACACTCGCGTTTGGTAATTGCGACATGCCTAAGGTCCTTCCTTCAGAGATCTTTAAATCTGTTTGAAGCCCATCAAATATGACGTCGATATCTCTCGCTTCTTTTAATAAGAAAAAAATCACTGTATGTTTATGCGTTTGTACGCACTGAAAGCCTTCTTGTGGGGTGAACGAGAATTTGATGGGATATATACAACTTTATGTCCTCTTCTACACAGGCACATGTGGAGAGAGGTAAACTTTCTTCTTTTCACTTTCTATGTTAGAAAAATAGTTACGTAACTCCATGAAGGGTGGAGAGACAAACTGAGGCATAAGTGGGAAGGGATAGAGAATAAAGAGTACTTGATTAGAACCAAAATGCGCGTAAGTGGCGTCGTGTCGGCGACTGCACGTAGATGGTGGGGCTGACGTCAAGACGATTTAGTGGAAGGCTGAGTCGTTGATTACAGTTATCTTGGAATTTCTTGGTAATTTTGAAAATTGATAGCGAGTAAGTGAGACGGCGGGAATAGTGCGAAGAAGGACTGTCGTCCACATGTCAGTTTTCGCAATTTTGGTCCAAGTAATCACCGATTTTCTGACAGATATACTCAAAGGCCGGACGTTTGTTGCGATCCTACAGAAGATTAAAAGGCAGTGGAGTGAGCGGCGCAGTCTAGGAGCAATATGTTGCCAACTCAGAGCAAACTAAACATGTGCGATTTTTTGGTTCCGATAAGGACCGCTAGACGACACTCTAGATTTGGGTAACTTTCATTCGTAACCCTAATAATAAATCAGACCAGGCAAACGAGGCAGCAACTTAAAATGCAAAAGGCTCGTCATAAACGTATACCCTCTAGAAAACGGACTTACGTGCTGCCAGCACTCTAGCATGAGAACGTAAATTCGATCGGGGCAGATTGCTGGTTTGTGTAACCGTCCTCCGCCAACGATAAACTGGTAAACTTGAGAATTATTCATTCCGTGGTAGGGGTTTTCCATGCAGTACGTGAACACCTCCCACATAAGAACACCTGCATTCAAAAAAGAATTTATATTTAATAAAAGACATTAAATATACTTCCAGCGAGGAACACAGTACTAACTCTACACAGATTATTTTAGGGGCCCTACTTAAGCAATTGTGCACCACTAAATCCAATGAGCTATTGCAGAAAGTTAGCAAATGAACAGAACCTTCAGGACCATAGGTTAAGTGGAGGAAAATAGCGATAGCTAAGAAGGGTACGCGAATACGGTAGTTATTCTGAAAGGTACTTATTCCCATGATAGCAATTCATAAATCGAATTACGCAGCCTGGAGAAGACAGTGCTGGCATTCTAGCAGAGGCAGACTTATTGGTAAGTATATGCGTTGTCTCGAGTCTTATTTAGTAACGTGGCAGCACGTTTGGTACTCTTGGGGTACGAGTTGCATCCATTGTTAGATAGTAATGGGCACCTGACGCACCAAAACTCCAGACATCAGCTTTGTCTGTGTAGACTGATTGGAAGACTTCTGGTGCAGCCCAGCGCACGGGGAATTTGGTCCCAGCACTTGGTTCATAGACATTGTCTAGCAGGAAGCGGGCCATCCCGAAATCGGCAACTTTAACAACCACCGAGTTCCGCGAGACTGATTTGACCAGACAGTTTCGGGCTGCCAGGTCGCGGTGGACAAACTGTTCCCTTTCTAAATAGGCCATGCCATTGCCCACTTGAGCACATATGTCGGCCAGTACAACCGGACGGTTACAAAATTGGGACTGCCGCTGACGCAGAAAATCACGGAGCGAACCTATGACGTAGGATGAAGCACAAGTAATCTACAATTGCAGTGCTATCACCCGACTACCACGCATACCTGCTGAGAACCAAGGTCATTAGGTGAAATTTAAAGCGACGATTGGGAAATACGGGTGATGGTAAGGATTGACAGATTTGTAACGCTATGACGCTAACAAGATATTGGTAAAATCTTAAAAGTTCAGAAATTGACAAACGAGTCGAGTAGCCGTGCATATATTAAATACAACCTGGGTAAAAGTTTGGTACCACGTAACCGTCCTAGACACGCCTTCGTGGAAATCCTCTTTTCCAGTAAGATATTCAGTTGAGGAATATTCGGCTTGGTTCTGCCACAAGATACAAACTTCGTAAAAGCAATGACATTCAACAGAACGTATTTTGCAATCCAGCTCCTAGATTCCGCACTGAAGTGAAGATAGATTCCCATGTGACTAATCTTATGCATACTGAAGATATTTTTAAACTTATCCCATTTAAATAAGTAGCAACATAAATGGTTGTCTGCAAAGTAGAAACAGCTGATTTGCTAATTAAATAAAATTTACTACTTAAATAGACATTCAAGTAAGTTTCCAAGTCGAAAGGCTTCTATAGTTTATCAACGTTATAACTTTGGGAGTTTTCCTCAAGACTTAAACTATCACCAATAAATGGGAACATGGTTAGTCCCACATACCTTACTCGCCACGATTTCTTAAAAACACAAAAAAGAACGATTATAAAAGATTACGTCTCCAAAACTATTGCCAGGCGAAAACATGCAAAAATCCAGATTTAATAACGACAGAAAATCTTGATAAAAGAATGGGTGACCGAGAACAAACAGCACTAAAAGTGAGACTACACCGTTGGGAAATTCGTTAGGAGACCTGGTAAGCTGTGGTTTGAGTTTCACTAGATCATGAGCTAGTGGTGACAAATCGCTACGCAAACGGCTGCCACAAATCTACTGCATATGCATAAGTAACCATTAAGAGACTTCTTTTTGACTGATTCGTGCACTGATACACGCGTCTTGAGAAGATATTCACGAAGCAGTTGGAAGCGCAAAAGCGAACCAGTTATTTTGGTAGGCATTTTCACGAGATTAGTGTTGAATTTATTCCAAATACCAGAATGACTTCCCTGTTGCCAAAATTTAAAACTAGTAAGTTCGCGGTTGGAGGTTTGGTGACATTTGAAGATGCTTTAGTGCGCCTATAGGATGAGACTGTCTCCTGTTGCAATTTAGATGTTATGACACAACGAAATTGAACAACCGTACGTACATAAATACGCGTGCTGACAAGGACCCACAAGTGACTGTGAATTCGGTTAAAGAAATTCAAAGGGAAGCTTACCATATTTCATGTACTCCGTGATAATCATAATAGGTCTCTTCTTCAAAACAACGCCAAACAGCTGGACGAGATTGGGGTGATTAAGAAACCTGACAAAAAATGACTACCATGAGCAAAGGACGATTTGTTTGAAAACAGACAGAAGAGTCATGCTTAAATTCATACTAAATTGTTAGAGGGAAAATTTAATGAAGCAACAAGTCATGCAGAGCTTAACCACAGCAACACGGCCACTAAGGTTTACGACTGACATCCTCAAAGCCACAACTTCCCAAAGCCTCCAGCATAGCTAAAGCACTAGACTGCTCGATTGCCAACGCATATAAAATTTTTGGGGATAGTTCGGTTTCATTTCAATTAGGCGAAGAACCAACCGAACATTGGTAGCACATGAAGTTATATGCGATTTTAATTAGGAATATTGTGCTATTGACTGTAAGAAAACAAATCAGCCGGGTAAGAAAACAGTTTTAAAAAAAAAAGATCTTAAACGAATGTCCCTTGCCATGACTAATATTATTGACTAAAGTACAGTTTATCATCAAATGGTATAATGGGGAATACCGCATATTTTTCGCCTCCTCAATAAAGTCTTCTTCGTTCATTGCATTTTCAACCATCTGCTTCACAGCTACTGGAATGTTCCGGAATTTTCCACGTTTCACAACCTTAAAAAGTGAGTGTACATTAGGGATCATCATTACTGATATGCAACAGCAAAGCAACTAAAAACGGAAGGCAGAGTAGTCGAAGAAAGAAAGGACTGAGGTGTGCTTCATAAGGATAAAAAAGGTGGCGATAGTTTCATGACTTCGCATTATTTTTGGCCACAAGATGGGCAGATTTTAAATGATGGCAATCTGGAATTACAGCTATCATGTACAAAGTAAGTGAGCTCGAGCGCCACAGGTAGTACCAATACAGAATGCTCTGGTATCAAAAGATAAGGCTCGAACTACTTGGCTGCTTCATGTAAGACTGACAACGCAGGTTTCATACCCCGAATTGGCCTTTCCCAATTGGGTCTCGATCGATCTGCAGCTCCGCAGGGTCCAACTCAAATTCATCGAGACCCATTCCAGCGGTGACCGGACTCTCGCGATCCTTAACAGGGGGAGAACGAAGGCGCACAACCAGTCCGCCTGAGTTGTGTTTGTGGTAGTGGATTACTTCGCTTATCGTCGGGAAAGCGTGCTTCTCTGAGAGGTAAAATTGTGCCTCACCACCACCACCACCGGCAGAACCTGTGGTGCCTCCGTTTACTTGCGTGGCTGAAACATTGCCGTTGGTGTTTCCTCCGTTGGACACAACACCGGCGCCGTTTGAATGGCCGTTGGAGAGATTTGTGCCACCATCGTTTCGATGAATATGATAGTGGTGCACCCGCAACTTACCTGATCTATGATTAAACAGAACAATTTCATAATTTTATAGTACTATGCAGTTAAAAGTAAGAGTTGAAGTGCAAATGAAGCGATATATGTTTCTGCCATTGCTGGATTCACGAAGAAAATGTTGACCTTATACAAGAACGCGGGGTAAAGTAAAACTTGGACAGCACATGACCCAAAACCGCATTGCGACGCAATGTTTTAAAACTTACAGAAGCCATAGTTAGCCACTAAACGGTGCTGGATTCTGTTAAGTACTCACCACATATGACTAGATAAAGTTAGCTGGATTCCAATCTGAGGTGCAACAGTGAACATAGTGAAGTGGACAAAGTACCTTCAAACAGCAGAGTAGGGAAAGTGTGAAATTAAGGGCTTGGTCTCACAGTGTTGTGCAGAGTTGCGGGCTTTAAGATTGGAACAACGGCCAAGGCTCCTCATTTTAAGGGCAAATTGCCGAATCTACTCCGATGACAATCCACTTAGCAGATACCAGGGCCGTTAGAGAACCGTATCCTAAGGTCAACCGAAATGAATTTTAAGCCCGTTTTCGTATCACACACTCAGAAGTTGAAGAGCATTTCAGTAAGCTTACAAAGCCTAACTCAGGTGTGATCAGCAGCCGCATAATGTAGCAGTAATGACTGTTGGAATTTAAAGTAGAAATCTAAAACACTGCCTTTTTATATGGTAATGAGAGTTAAGATCGATCGCTACTCGTGACACTCTTGAGACTACCTTTTACACAATTACAAGACAAACTTTGCACAATATATTAATAGACAGTTGAGTTAAAAACTACAGTAAAAGTTGACTGAAACGGTTTAATCTACGAACAAGCGCAATCAGTCGTCGCGAACTATCGTGAAGAGGCGATAAAGAGGTCACATTAATAGCGGACAGATATGCCATTCATACCCCCAATGCACTAAAGTACCTGTTATCATTTTAACAAGAACATCAACGGAGAAAGACCCGAAGAACACTCACAAGTGGGCTGAAAATGAGCGAAATCGAGCCTAACAAGTACGGTTGATTTTTGTGCAAGTTACGCTTTCGGTTACTTAGAGGACAACACAAAGCTTCATAAAAATTTTGTTAGTACACATAATTAATCCATTTCCAGCATTCCGGCACAAGCCATAACACAAGTGAACGATTTTCCCACCCCTTGGGAGCAGCGTGGTGATTGAAGTGCAGAACACGAAGCTTAGAATGAGTCACATGAGAGAAGGGAGGATGGCGACCCAGTCGGGAAAAGGACCGGGCCGTGGGTGAACGCACGCACGCACGCACGCGCATGCAGGCATTAGTCATCGAACGCACGAGTTGGTACGGCTGCTAAAATTAGTAGTGGCAGTTAAAGCGGGGCATGAGAGATGCCAACTAGGTGCGTTAGGCAAAAGAGACACTTTCAAAAATCGTGGAGTCTTGAAAGAGGAATTACAGATCACCGGGGATATGGCGTTTGCAGTGAATAAGCGAGTAAGGTGTGGTTAGACATAAACTAAGCCCTGTATGCGTTGGAGAGACTTGACCAATTTAACAAGCGACATTGTCCACTACTAGGCAACTGGCACAGCTCTTCAGATAATTCGAAGCTGTCCACAAGAAGTCAATTTACCAGGCGCACTTCCGTTGCAGAAAGGAACAAGCCTACAGCAAATAGCCATGTAAAAGAACAGAAGCAGGACTAAGAGATCTAATAGGGCAGCTTTGAAATCTTCGCAAGGCCTTTTACGCGCAGCCAAAGACGTTAGAGTGAAGAGGGAATTGATCTGTGTTAGACAAACAAGTGTGTACATGAAAGGATCGCAGACTATATGCGTGAAACGGGTTCGAAACCAAGGTGTTGGTCTCGGTCAAGGCACCCATCGTGCTTCTGTGTGACAATCTATGCCAAATGACTAATTAATAGGGAAGCATGCACACCTATTTACCGCATATAAGTAAATTCGAACTGAAAGCCACGTGAATTGAGAGTCAGGGAGGAGAGGTAGGGACAAACGGTGGGGTGTAAAGGAAATCAACCGATGGAAAACTGATAAGACAATTGGGCTTGTAAAGAGTATGGGGCAGTGCAATTTCTGGAGCGAGTAGAAAAACCTTATCGTGTACTTCGGATGTAAGCTCGTGCATTCGATTGAGCAAACTTGTCTGCATAGCCAAACGCATGAAGCTAACGAGGAATGACTTCTTAAAAGAATAACGAGTCGATCAATGAAAATTAAGAAGCAATTTGGTGAACCCTGATGTGAGTACGTAAAAAAGTCACCAATGTATCCGAACTTGACCCGAAAATGCCAAACCACTACAAAAACACGCTTTCCTAAACAAATTTGGAAACGAATGATTAGTAACATTCAGTTTCCATGATCTCGAATGCTTCAGCGGGTGCCCTATCGTGATTTGAAGTCATTTAGAAACGAATGGCGAGTTATTGCGCTGCGAAAAAAGTAACGAGCTTGTGTAAACGGCATTCTACGGCATTCTTTTTCTCGAGACTCTCTTCCGCATTCAATCTAGTCATTAATAAGGTAAATAACAGAGGTCAAAGGAACTCAGTTGAATTAGAGTCCCAGTTTAACCGCCAGTAAGAACCTTCTAAATGATATTTGACAACTGCATTTTTGTCTGACCTCAGTTTATAACCAGGTGAAACAACGCTAACCGCCTAGGATGCATCAACGGGAGTAACTTGGACTAAAATAGATCGTGGTAAGTTAACTTGATCGCTCTCGTACAAGGACACTCCCTGATATATATAAAAATATTCAAACAATAGGCAAAAGGTTAACACAGTTGAGTGGCAGATAATTTGTCCGAGATGGCAAATAGACGCCTGATTAAAGTAAACCAATGTTCAAAGAATAATAAGGGATAAGTGAGAACTATTTAACCGACTTCGAGCAGAATTGCGTCCACACCCGACCTTTTACCTTAACATGAGGCGCCATTTGAGATTAGCCACATCAATTGACCCCTCAAACATCTCGGATTGTCTGAGCACTAATACAATGCCAGAGCTGTATAGGCCGATTACACTCTTCGAGCTAACGGATAAGAACCTGTTGGGTTGATTTTGTTCGATTTTTGCGTTAGCAAACCTGAGAGTCCAAAATGTTTTTTAAAAAAATCCAAAATCAGCTCACACGTCAGGATCCTTTGAGGTGACTGAGAGCGTGTAGGTGTTTTTCTTGCTCACAGAGTCGCGAACGAGAAAGCAGCCCTCACGATTTTCCTCCAGAAGAATCGCCTCTGCTTGCTGGCGAGTGATGTCCTTGTAATACCAACTAGACAAAAGTAGACGATAGCATTCTAAATCTCAGGAAGCCCGTTGATCACTTAGTAAAAATTTAGCAAGTTACTGTGGCGCACATGGTTAAATGGACAAACCACATAGCGAGCTAAAAACCACTACCATAAATAGTTAGAAGACAGAACCATGGAATAATAGCAATACAATCTTCACAAAAACAGAGTAGTTATAAAAAATGAGCGGCCTTAGACACATTCTCGAAAAAAACGGGGAGTTTCGGTGAGCCTCGCAAGACGGGTGAGGGGTTGCTACTAGCCATCCTGACGTTGACCTGCAAGCAGTGTGCTTGTTTGCCATCCACACTGAGCAGGTAATTGGGAGAAGGTTTCAAGTTGCGTGGTCGAGGCTATTCCATTAGGCTTGACAGATCGCAACAGCTCAGGTCAAGACTTGAAATCGAAATGCACTTGACAAATTTCAAAAGTATGGTTGCCCTTTAAGAAATTTCGCATTCCAATAACTGTCTACTTCTTATGGGAGAAATAGAATCACTAGATAAACTGGTAAAACTATGTTTAGCAGAAGTTAGTCATTAACCTGGTCAGAAGTAATGCATTCGCCTTGCGCTATTGGCTTGATGTGAAATCTCGCTTAATAAGTCAAAATTTTGATTTAGCTAATTACATTCTTAGATGGTGGACTCGATGGCTCGCCACAAATATGCGAAAACGCATAACTTTCATTTATGGTAAATAAACTCCAAGTTGTCAACCAAATAGACTGTTTCAGATGGCAGAAATTTTGTCTTTGTAACTCAAGGGTGCAACTGGTGATGGAACCTAGACATTTATATAAATATAAGCGCTTACTTAAAGTGAAAGGGAGCTTTAAATTGCAAACTTTGTAGGAAATAGCACAGAGAGTGAAATGTGTTGTAAGTATAATGAAGGCCAACTTTGACTGTGGCCCCCTTGGTAACATACGGTCTCTATGCGTTAATCCTGTTTCAGTGTAAATTCAGCACAGTGCGTTAGCAAATATGCTGTGCATTTTGGTCGATAATCACCCGCCCTGTCATGTGGCCGGCACATTAAACTCAGATGTGAGGATTTTGTCATCGAAAAACTTATTCAAACGGTTTTGAATAGTGCAAATTTAATTAATTAACGCCATCGGGAATCCCACAAGGCACTGACCAGGTTATGCACGATACACCACAATATCCCAATAAAATCGTCGAGTCTCCACTGCAATACGCAGCTTGGCTCCATAAGGCTGGGACGAAAAGTCCTTTGTTCAGATCAACGTTTTACCAAAAACAAATAAACAGTACAAATGAGTCACTACAATCGCTTTTTTTACGAGGAACTTTTAAAAACACATCCACGCACATAAACAATTTTGCAAAATCTTGGATCTTTTCACCTAAAGGAGTAAAGTTCAAAAAGGGAGCTACCTGTTCTCACTCATCGTTGTTATAATTCAGGATTCCACCCAGTGAATATAACAAAAAACAGGTTGGTGAAATAATTTATCTGATAGTGGCTTTAACTTAGTTATGTTCAAAAGCAGGCGTCAGCATGATAAGCAAAGCCCTAGAAATTAGATTAGGATTCTACAACAGAATGTGGATTTTGACCAACTACGAGGGTGGTTATCACACCTAGATGTCATCTAAGCAATCGGCGACTCTATTTGTCGTTACATCAAATCTTTCAATTACGTTAATTACTGATCTTGAGTCTGTTGTGTGAGCAAAAGAGTACTTTGAACCTCAGATTTTGCCCCAATGTTTCATGCCTTTTGTTGGTAACGCAATTCAGGGACGTTTGGTGTTTTGGTTGGGAGTGGAGGAGAGAGGGGAGAGGGATCGCGATCGCTTATTTCGACAAACAGTAACCCAACATGAGGGGCTTTGCAAAACCCATTTTATGCTTTTAATGGAAAACATCAAATAATATACCTAAGTAAAGATATCAAGAGAAAAATAAAAATTGTAGAGGTTCAGCTACATAGTTTCCGTTTTTAAGGTATAGAATAAAAAAAATTCAAGTCCCAGAACGAGGAATGTAGTGAACATAACTTGCAGAAACGAGCACTAGGGATCTACTGCAGACTTCAAAAATCCTGCATGAAAAAATTTTTTGTGTCAAGTTTAGTAAGCTGCGGAAATTGAGACAACAGTTTAAAAAGACGAGGCAGTATAACACAAGAGTTGCTAAAATAGCGCATAGATTCAAACACACGTTGAAATCGTTAATTGTAAAAAAGTATCTCGTACTTATTTCGGTTAACACTAACGTAGCCGGATACAAATAAGAAAATAAGTTATTTTTGAAAACATTTGGGCAAATCAACGTCAAATTGATAGTTCTTTGACTTAGCCAGTGATTTGCCTATCACCCTATTCTACTTATTTCAAGATTTTTCCAGAACTACGCCTAACAACAAACAGAAAACAGATGGCAGATTTTTTGAAATCAAGGCCAATTGTTTAGCAGTATAGTATTAACATAGGACGGAATACCGCCAGTTACTCATTTGACGGTAAGAGTAATGTTACCCCGGAAATCCTGCTTAATCGAAGTCAGGTAAGTCAACAATCAACTGTTGCTTAGACGCAGAAAATTTGACTTACTCGAACGAGTTGAGGCTATTTGGTTTGTGTATGTAGTTGGTAGGAACATAGCCAGATTGGCCAGCCACATTGCGAACGTACCACCACTGAGCGTTGCTATCGTTCACAACATAGTACTTCTCACCCTTCTGTAGGGGCAATTGGTTTTCGCGTACGGGATTGTAGTTGTGAACAGCAATCACAGTCTTCTCGTTTTCTTCCTAAACGGGGACAATTAAAAGACTGTGTTAATGGGCACGACCACCAAGACATGGAACAATTGGTTGACAATTTTATAGCACAGTTCATTACTTTTGAACGTTGTGGTGTATGCGAATGCACGATTGTGCATAATGCTGGAGTTCACTTTTGTCAAGGAAAAGTTATATTGCACATTCTGGCTACACAGCTACACAAGCAAATGAGCACACAACCGATGTGGTTGACGGCCTCGGTGTTTTTTCAACAGAAGCACTTTCAACTAAAGTACAGTTTTGCTATCAATGTGGCGCGTTCGGCGTGGGTGTACAGAAATGCGTCATTGATGTGTCTAGCATCATTAGTGTCGCAGTATAAAGAATACAGACAATCAACCTACCAACCTTTACAGTGAAAGTAATCAATCAGCGCTTGTTATTACCGGTTGGTAGATTTTAACAATCTATAGTAGATTCCACCTAATCCTAGCAGTTGTGCAGCCGACTTTTTGTGAGAAGAAGATGAGTAGTTATAAAGTGCTGTCCGAGGAATCATTAAATCATTTGAAGAAGTTCAACACCATCAAGAAACAAAAACAGACTGAAATATTGCCCCAAGTTTAGGTGTACTTTAAAATTCTGAAACCATATGAACATTCAATTAAGTTTTCGGTGTCTAATATTAATAACCTACGAATACGTCGGTGACCACTTCTAGTCTAGGGAAAGAAACGGACACCATCCTCTGGATATGTCGGGAATTTGGATACAACTAGAGAAACAGTTGGTCTGGTGTCATCGGAAACGAATTGTGAGTTCTTTAGAATTCAGCCCAACTCAAAAAGGGATCTCAGCCCCCTGACCTGCCTGTTGGAGCCGTGTCAGCGCTAGCCTGGACGCATTCGTCAACGCGTGCGCGAGACTGACCGCACGTGTGCGAACCGGGTTTGCGTAAACAATCGCGCACGGTGCCGTTAACTGTGAAAACACCGCTATGACCCGGAAAGCGGTCAGCCTGCGAAATATCCAATGCGTGTGTTTGTGGGAAAACTAATCGTCCGAGGTAAGTTATTCGATAAGCAAATACATAGTCGGGACCAAAATGAACCAAGGAACCCGATCAAACGTGGAAGCAGGTAAATCAACCACCTGTATGCGGGGGGTGGAAAATTACAGACAATTGAAGGCCCGTATGCAGAGTGAGAAAACAAAAGGGTGGGGGGCAGCTGTTGTTGTTGCGGGAAACTGCTGTAAACTACAAGTAAGTTACGCAGATCAACAAATTCTTCAAATGATTGCGTTATTTTACGAGACTAAGTTTGTCAGCCTAAATGTAGCTCAGATCGACTTCGTTGGTAACCTGTCGGCAAGGGTAAAATTAGAAAGGTAGACCACGATTATAAGGGAACACAAACCAATTGCCCCCAGCTGATGGAGTGCAGTCACCGACACAATCGTATCCAAGTCTAATAAAATCGAAGTCTTGATCAAAACACCGGCGGCAAATTAAGTGCACAACCTAATGTCGACGAAAAAGGCGCTTAACCATACATGGCCCTACCGCCTTCGAAAAGAAACCACATAGAGGCCTTTCGACGAGACGGTGTTCAGATACACTGATACCAATCACCGGCAAAAGACACCTTTACGTGGATATACTGCGCATGATTCGTCTGAACGGTGTGTACAATCAAGTAAACAAACACTTTACTGCTTATGATGACCATTAAGTGTGCCGGGCCACCACCACTTAGGCTCGGTCACAGCACCATCTTCCACGGTGCTGCAAGTCAACGACCGATGACGACAGCCGGATGCGTGCTTCAAGGTGACGCACCTACACGCCCATCAATCCAACTACGGAAGCCACAATTGACCAAGCGTTGCTTTCAGACAACAGCAAATTCGCAAACAACACACACTTCCGTTCTACAGGCCTAACCAACTTGACCTGACCACTTCAGGCAGTGCTCGTGTTCCCAATGGCGCTGTTTGCGAAAGTCAACTGTTTGCAATCTACTGGGTGCAATGTGCACGAGTGTATTTTTGCCTCGTAATCAAGGAAATGCAATGCAGACGGATTACTGGCGATAGTTTCATGACTTTGCACTAACCTTTGACTATTTAGGTGGTGAAGTGGGTTAAAATATGATTTAGTAACCGCGCATGGCTCAAACAATCTGTCGAAGAGAAAGATCTTTACACATAGAAAAGGAAGCACTGCAATAAAAGCACACAGATCAGAACCATTACTTTACGATAGTAGTTTGGTTGACTTAGCCCCATGAAAGGGATAAAGTTGTCTCCCACTCAAAACCAAAAAAACGGAAGTGAGGGATTAAATGGGGATTGTTCGTTTTTTCCACTCACGGATGGAAGACGATGCACGAAATGTTTCACGCGCTGTGAAACAAATAAGCATAGGTGACCGGCACAAATGTGGCTTGAAAGGCCTACGAGGACAGAAGCATCGTGATTCCACTCTTACAGGTAGAAAAAGCAGAAAGGTTTGACGGAATGCCACCATCTGTCAGAACTTTACTTTAAAAAAAACCAACTTTATTCACTTCAAAGGTTCAATTCAAAGAAAGTAAATGAAACCCTCCCGGAAGACCGCAATATTTCTCGATTTGGGGAATTCGACATGAGTATTATGGAGAATGTCATAATGCGTTACCAAATTTATGACGTGAACAGTTAAAAAGGACACGAAATAAAACTAAATGGAGTGAAAGACGACCACGAGAACCCTACAAAGAAGTTCATTACGTCCTTTAAGAATAAATTACTAAATACGCCTTTATCCGACAATCGAAATTCGAAACAAAATAGAGATTTTGAGGCCCAAACTGAAGATAGTCTTGACAACTATGCAAATGCCTCCAACTCGTTGTATATTTCAAAATATGTAAATGGAACGCTGGCAGGAATAGCCCAAACATTTGAGAATTTGTTTATCAATTGTGTTTTTGGAAAAAAAAACGGAAAAAGTGTACAAGACTGGGCTTCTTCAATGACAATTTCAGCAGAAATAATCGAGGCCGATTGCGCGAAATGAGAGGACTACTTCATGAAAATTTCGAGGGAGATTAAAGTTAGAATAAGAAGATATCACAAAATGGACAGATGTAAAAATTCACTTTTGACGGGCGCAACAGAATGAATCGAGATTCCTGAGGAGAGGATTTAACCAATTTTTAACACGCCACAACTCCGGTTTTGGTTCTGCCGATGTTGTTGCAACACGCACCACTTCATAAGAAAGCAGCACCGTCGCAGAAGGGGTGATGCGCGGTTGGTCGAATCAAGGTAGGGTTAAACTTAAAAATGAACGATTGATCAAATGACAAAAACAGAAGGAAGCATTGATTTGTACTCCAAAGTAGAAGAGAAAGCAATCACCCAAAACTACGCTCTTCGTTGGTGCTAGGCGCATTCAAATGACGAAGGGCAACCGTGCTTTGACCGTATTACCTTCACCAATATAAAAACGTTACTCGCTGGATCGAGACCGATGGGTCGGAAAGTCCAATAGCCTACGTCGAGTGGAGCATTCAACTTTACTTATTTTCAATTCATTGACACTTCTGAGAGCTAAGGATTAAAATATATCCACTCGTATTTGTACTTCGGTCCAACAAATTTTCATCGAACCGGATCAATGACAGTTTGAAAATGTATTTGCATATTTTACTCCTGACACAGCCGAAACCAATAATGAAGACGTAGAGATTTTCACGACATACATTGGTATAACAGGATAGAACGGGCTTAGAAAGCACCAAGAAGCACGTGTAGTCGCCGTAATAGTGGTAACAAATTCTGCCTAGAGTCGATTTAGATTTAAGAAAAGCACTCAGTCGATTCGTTCTCCACACAAATTATTTGAAAAAAAAATAATATCAAGCTTGCTTCTACTAAATGCTTAATTTATTTCCAACCAAACAACTGGCCTGCCGAAAAAAACAATGTGGCCATATTACCCTTTTTCGAAGACAACTTTTTGCATGAAAAAATTGTCAATTCAAAAGTTTATTTCCCAAACGAAATCAGCGTGACTGAAGTGCGATGAATTGGCAAGGAAATGTACAGATTTAATGAGCTACGATCACGAGGTGGAGAATATCGTTTCCGTATCGACTTGCAGATGCACGGCACGCTGATTTCGACAGCGCATCATCCAAGGCAGGAAATTAACCGTTTACAGACGACTCGTAAATAAGTTAAAAAAGTGTAACAAGTTTGGTCGATGGACTTCAAGGACACAGATAAAAGGTTTGAAAAGAAAGACTTGGCATTTGGTGAAACGGGATGTAGTCATGAAAGATGGAGATATATAAAGCTAAAAATAAACCGATATTATTTAAAAAATGACTTAAAGGTACTAAAAAATGTGCTGCCAACTTTGCTCAGCGGGAGTTAAGCAACTTTACAATATATTTAGTGGTTGCGGAAATTAAAAAGTAACTCTGACAGCCAATCCCGTTTTAGGCCTGTGTATACGAGAATAAGCAATGTATCGGCCGGTAAAGCGTCAACCTTACTTTGCGTTAATGTTGTCAAATGTATGGCAAAATGGAAATATTTTAGCGAATCGCGTGTCTGCACACCAGAACGTCAGAATATGGAGCCAAATATTAATCAAGGTCAATCTGTCAGCACATCTAAAGTAAGCGAATTAGTTGACATATATCATGGCTCAAAAAGTTGCCTGCGTTTACATTAATCAACGCAGGCTGGGAGAGAAACCACAGCAACGGAAATTCACTTTGGCTGCTTACCCAATCAAAAGACTGTCCGCCAGGGGATTGTGGCAGCCTTATGGGTCTCCGAGTGCTTAGTTGATGTTGATGTAAATGAGGTTGTGTAGCAATCACGTTTAGTTTTTGTTGCTGAGCCAACAAGAGTTGCTGTTGTTGCTGTTGCTGCTGAAAAAGCACTTGCTGTTGGGTGAATATGTTCATGGGATTGGGGGGCGGGGCGGGAGAAGTCGCTATAATTAATTTCCCCGTTTGTTGGGGAGCGGGCTGTTGTGGCTGCTGAGGCGGTGAAGACATAACAGCGACCGACTGCTGTCCACCAAGAGGGGAAACGGGAGGTGTCTGGATCTCTGTTGAAGTGACAGGAGGAGGACAACCAGGATAAGAGGATAGGCGGTGGGGTTCAGCTGCTTCTGTGTTCGTTGAAGAATCAAAGGTGTGTTGACAACCATGGGAACGACGATTGATGTCATCGCAACAACTATACCGGCCAGGTCGACGCCACACACCAGGATGGTAACGCGGTAGGAAGCAGGCACCCCGTTCTCGTGTATCTAGTAACAATGTAAGCCACCTCAGTTCCCAGTCATGGTGGAACCATGGGGACGCACAATATCAGAATACTCTATGTGGACATGCCCTACTCCTGAAGTATTACACCATAAACCCACCTGTCATTTTCGATACTTGTGAAACAAATTATTTTAGCTTAGATTGACGGGTTAATGAGCGCATTTAATAGCAAAAACTCCTAAGTTTTTTCTATCGACCACAGATAAAAGCATGGTTATGAACACAAACTGGAATATACAGTTGACGTCCTATCTGACGTTTAGAATACCTAGAACCTTACAGATGGGGAAACACAAAGCCGCTAAAGCGGACAAAGAGAAGAGCTGCCAAATAATTCCACTAATTGCCAACGAGTGGAGTAAATTTTAGAAGTATACACATAAGAAGTACAAAATTGAGATATGAGTGTGGATGGCAAATAGCACGAAAATGAAAATTGCGACTACGAGGAGTCATTAGACTGGATTGAAAGACAGCTTCACGAAATAAAGGAAGGTACTGACAAATTGTAAAATTCCAAGTTTAGGGATAAACAAGATTCACGGCAAAACATTTAAAACAAAATGAGGCAAGAACCTGATGAAAATTGGCGAGAATCACGGGTATTTTGAGAAAAACTCATAATCTTAAGTGATGCACGGTGATCCGTTGATTAGGCTGTAGCGCTCTGTTCGAAGGAGCAAGTGCACATAAATGCACAAAAAGTAAACCAAGAACGCTCTGATGATTGACAAATACGTGCGCTAACAGAAGAACTCACAAAATCTAATAAGACTTATCCAATCATCTCGTTCTATTAGCGAAGGCGCCACTATGTACAGCAGAAACCAGTTGGTTGAACTTGAGTCCTCAACGTAGGCGACCTAAAAGAAGTGAATTACAAAAGAAAGCAGGAAATACCTGTAGGACATTCTTTTTGCCATCTAAATCATCATCCAAGACCTTTTCAACATACTTGACGTTGGAGAGAAGAACTCGGCCCTTTTCTTTTCCACGGTTCTAACGGAATCAATTGCACGGCAGATACAATGACACTTACCCCACCACTGACTTCAAAATACTTTATGTGAAACGGAGTAAGCACAAATTCACGGAGTTTGTAGCTCGGTCGACTGAATATTTTCTTGTTTACTGACCGTTTGGTCATTCGCGAGATTTTAAGCTCCTGATCGGTCGCCATGACTTAAATGGAGTACGTAAATATGCAAATGATTGTGATTTTGGCAAAGGAAATGTACTTAGACAAAATCAAAGATAACAAACAATCACCTAAAGAGTGTCATTAGGTGCACTGAGCTTTGTAGGAAAAAGTGAAACCGGGTCTACACTTGACAAGTCCACAACAGCAATGCAAACTAAGCTTTACAGAAAGAACGGGAAAATTATTACGTTTACCTGAGACCAAACAGAAGGTTTAGTTTTCTTAATTGGAATCTATAATATAGTTCAAAAGTAAAAAGAGCCTAGCCACTAGAACACCAACTTGGTAAAAAAATGCTCATTTAAAAACAAAAAATCGCAAAAGCCCAGGTTCAAAAAGTATCACACAATACAATTTAAAACTTACACTCTACTGTATCCGTGTACAGGAAACGACGAAAAAGAGGGGAAATGGTTCACAGAACAAGACCGGTTTAAGCCAATTAAGAGGATACGGCTAATAACGATGGCAATGAAAGCAATCCGATCCGTTGTGAAACGCCTCTAGAGATGTTTAAGAAAAGGAATATGGAAACGAATTTGTGGGTTGAACACCGATTCATGAATAGGCAAAGCAAAGTGCAAAGGAAGGAATGGAAAACTACCTTTGAAAGAAGAAGTGGGATGCTTGAAAGGTCCTAAATAGATGTAGTGCCTGCCTTCTCAACGTCACCCACCAAATTTACATTACCTACTCGCTGCGCGAACATCTTAAAATGACTTATTTTACCAGAATCGTGTAGCATCAAAATATTTACTAAAGGTAAACACGTACGGAACAAAGCGTTATTAACTGATGGATTCGTTCGACTGACTAAATTTATGAAATTCCTCACCGCCGAAGGTAAGAGGCTTACAATAATATCTACGAATGCTTGAGCTTTGATTCATGTAAATCGAATTAAGACGGACATAAATAGTACTCGAAATAGGCATTTCGGTGGTGATAGCGATACCATTTAAAAACCCCATAGTTTTATTTCGTAATATAAACCAGTAGTTACAGTGGTTTCACGAAAAAGAACTAAAGAGAACAGGAGAAAATGAAAAGGACAAAGAACAACGACCTTCTCCACCTGGTGACCTTCGTATTTTCGGACTTATTCTCATATAATTAAAACCTACTCTTTTTCACCAAATTCAACATCGCTATTCAATACATACAGCTTTATTAGGTATATTAAATATAAAAAATTTCTGAAAAATAAAATTTGTGGTGATAGTGTTAGCAGCCATAGGTACTTATGCAAGATAAAATAGTCACGGGAGCCACAATTTGTGCCTAATTTTCATATAACTCTTCTCATATTTATGCTAACTCCCGTTCGTAATTGGATGCAAATTTCTTATCTCTAAAGGCCGAAAAAATAGTTTAAAAATCTCTTTTCCGAAATGAGGCTATTTCTATAAAAATTTAATGAAAAATTTAAATCATTTTGGAAAGGCAATTAATCACTAAAACATTAAAACACTAAATTTATTAAATCTAGAATAGGTTATATTTGAAGTCGTAAAGTTCATGGTTTGGGATGACACATATATGTTATTTGGCATTCCAGATTGTCTTTCACTGAGGCGTTTTTCCATTTCCTGCTCCTCAAAGACTCTTGAACAATTAGGGTTCAGACTTTACTTTCCACCAACCTCTCTGCGTTCATTAATAGGTTTTGCTCAGATGCCTGTTTATTTCCCGTGATCCCACAGAAAATGTTCGTGTGAATATTCATAACTCACATTCATTAAAGTGTTTTAACAGCAATTAGACGAGAGTGACGCCTGTCTATTGGATAATTAATTAAAATGTCTCATCCGTGTATTCTATTAATAACTGTTATTAGTTGCTCATTATGCACAGGCGCTCACCTTCATAAAGATTTTCGTGGCTGATGTGACCCTAAGGGATGTTAGTATCCGCTATCGCTTCCTATCTCTATCCTAATGGGCTCAAAAGAACGGTTACTTTTAAGATTTCGATGTAGTACTAAGCAAGCTACTTTGTATTGTGATATTAACGTGAAATGAATATTTTTCAAAGTAATAGATTTGTGACATATGATAGACGTAAGTATATCCTATTCATAATTTACATAACGGCTTCTTTACTTCAAATTCGTGCTCTACGAGTGAATGCACCAACCTTCAGTATTATATGAATGCTTTACAATTATGTTAACAGTCCCCACTGTAAATTTTTAAAAAAATATTAGGAATGAGTCTACTAATGATGTGAATTTGCATGACAATTAAATATTGGTACTCATATTCCGTGAATAGTGTGTATACATACTCCTTAAACAGGTCGCTCTATTCTCCGACACAGGTTTGTCCTTTTCGCAGCATGTCACTAGCCGTGCTGATTCTGAACTCCAATCCCACTCGCACGAATATTTATCTTGGATTTTTCTCTCACCTAGGTCTCAATGTTAGCTCATGTATGACTCACGCAACAGAGGATTAACTAAGCTCGCGCAATCCCTACACGCAACATAACGACACCAACGTGCTTGAACACTCAAGTAAACGGTCGTGTCCACATCCACTGTGGTCTTTTTCTTCATCGCGGTACCAGGGAAGCGTAATTGAGCCAGGGTTAATTTAGTGGCCTCGTCGTGGTTCAAGACCACACGCCGGGGGCCACAACACATATATTCGTAAAGAAGCATTATTTTCATTGGTGATCAAAAACGTGCCGTGACTAAAATTATAAAATAAACAGATTCTTTGAAAATAAGTCCGATCGTACCTTACAAGCAGCTAGATATACTTTTTTGCTAATCATTGAGATAAGTAGACATTTCGGTGTTTATAATGAACTATTTTTTACGTTGACGGAATGGCAAATTTTTAGCTTTAACCCCAAATTTCTAAATTAGGACATTTAGCTAAAAGCATATTTTCTTATATACGTTGCTGAAAATGTTCATAGCCTAGTCCAAGTATAGACAACCAAAATTTTTATTGAAATGTGCTATGCAAAGATCAGAATTCTAAGTTAAAACATAATTTAAGTAAGCAGCAGCAATCACGATGGCAATAATGCAGTTTTACTATAATCCAGCTATTAAATTCTTAGTATCCATTTACTAAAAGGATTTTTTGATATCACGAAAAAATAGGTTCATCACGGTCCATCTAATCGCAAAGCATTATTGTAAAACTTACATGTATTTGCTGGCCTGAAAGCATAATTATTACTCAATAAACCCAGTACGCCGTCCCTGAAAAAAATTATATTATCTAGTTCATTCGATTTAGTATCTATTGGATTTGTGCGGTATACAAAGTCCCGCAGTAAATTTTTCGTCACTTGCGGATATTGCTGAGCGTATATATCCCCCCACAAGCACTTTAAGTGCCGTTGTC